CTTTTTATTTTTGCATTTAACATAATAATATTCTAACAAAGTCACTTCTGTATTTCAATTGAAGTTGGTATTTATTGTGCTTATTTTTGTATTTCAACATCAATTTCAATGACAATAAGCTTGTATTTCTTTTTTACTATATTTTCATTATAATTGTATATCAATAACTTTTGTATTTTATGTGCTCACTTTACCATTCAAATGAAAATTGATATTTTACTTTCATAGTAAAAACTAAAAATTGTATTACGTGTTTGTGAAATATATATTTCTATTATTTGTATTATAAAAATATTATTGATTGTATTATAAAAATATTATTGATTGTATCTCAATACAATTCAATCATTACATATAAATACGATTTAAGAAAGGATACACAATTTTGGAAGAAAAAATAGCATACAAAGTGAAAATAATACAATCAGTTGAGGAAGAATGCAATATTCTAAAAACAATACAAATTAACTCTGAAAAGAAATATGATATATTTATATTTAATAAATACAAATCCATTTGGCATACCTATTGAGATGACTACAAACTAAAAAAGAAATGCAATATTATTAATAAAAATACAAATGTTGAGTAAAAGAAAAATAGTTGACAAACAAAAATTAATATGAATATAATTTTTGCAACCTTTTTTCTTTGACTCTCTCTTTCTTCTTTGTCTACTATGTTTTTTTTCTCCAAACTCAAATACAAATTTGTATTCACTTGTGCATTAGTAAAACTCTGCCTCGTTATCCAAGAAAATAATTACCCAAGAAAATTAAAAAAAACGTTCATGTCAAAACTCCCATACAAACTAATAATTCAACAATTAACAAATACTTGATCGAATATATTTCACTAATTTTATCGAAGTTCCAGTTGAAAATTTCTTCTCCGAAGTTATTTGTCAACGAAATTATACCCGCTTTCAAAATCTTCTCATCAAACAGAAAAAAATGCAATTTTTATCAAACTCACTTCAACAAAGAGGATTTTGGTATTGCCGCCAATATAAGATAGTTGATGATCATGAGGACGAAGTTGAATTCTTCCACCATAGCTACACATTAGTTTAACCTTTGGATTCTTCGTTGTTGGTGCGTGTAAATTCATGCGAGAATGATGAAGAAGACAAAAAATTTGCTTTTGGAATTTATTTTTACATTTTCTTTTTTATGTAAAGATGAGAGATAATTAAGTGATATGTTTTTTTTATGAAATATTAAATTTGTAACTCATGAGTATTTTAAATGATATACTCCTTTTTAAAAATATTCTCTTCCTTGAATTTCTTATTTCTGTTATTAAATAATTGCATTCTTTCAGTTAAAACAAATAAAAACAATGTGAATTAAACACATAACAAACTAAACTATTAACCTTTTAATAAATATTGAAACTGTGATTAAAAAATTCTATTAAATATTAAAATATTAATATTTTAAATTTTTTCTTAATACTATTTAGCCCTATTTTGATGATTATGGTTCTCAAACAATAAGTCCAGTATGGGAAGAGTATGGTTCTCAAACAATAAGTCCAGTATGAGAACAACCAATAGTTGAAAACAATTTTTTTTTGTTATCTTCATCATACATATTATATTAAAAAGTTGGATTGCAAATCTACCTTTACCTAAATAAGAATTTTTTTTAATTAAATGAATAATTTTGTTATATAAACCAAATTCATCTAATTGTATCTTGATGACCATGCTTCCTTCATTAATTGATGACTAATGTATTAATATATATATACCCATTTAATCAAATTTGTTTTTCAAAAACATAAAGTACTTCTCTCCACATAAACCCCCCCCCCCCCCCGCCCACCCCCCTCCACCTTTCACCAACCTAGCCCTAAAAAAAACTAATTTTTTTTTAAAAAAAAATTACCCCGCCCCCTGGCAACCCCCTGCCACCTACCTCACCTTCCATCAACATACCCTATTTTTTTTCAAAAAAAAAAGTTTACTCTCTCCTTTCGGGCATCCTCCATCCCCCACACCCACTCCCCCAACTTCCACCAACCTATCTCTAAATTTTTTTTATTGAGTGAAAGTGAAAATAAGTGATCTAATATGGATCAAATGAATACTAGGGGTGGGCACTCGGTATTTCGATTCGGTTTTATTTTTTTTTTAATTTTTTTGGTTTTTGATTTTTGCAAATTGTGTACCGAAAACCGAACCGATTCGGTTCGATTCGGTTTTTGTTAATTCGGTTCGGGTTTTTTATTTCGGTTTTTAATGGGCCTGCTACACCCATATTTGATTGTATTTGTTCATCAATCTATATATATATATATAATCACAATAAATTCCCAATAACTAGTAATAAAAACAAAATCAGAAAAAAAAGTCTTTTTTTTTAAAAAAAAAAACTGAAAACAAACGGACAAATCTGTTGTCCAATGTCCTGACCCTGCGCGACTGCTGGCGGACGGTGCGGCGCGGCTGCTGCTGGCTGCTTGATGGCGCGGCGCGGCTGCTGCTGCTGCTTCTTCTTCTAGCGGACGGCCGGGCGCCGGCGCTGCTGCAGTGCTGCTGCTTCTCGCGGCTGCTGCTGCCTGCTGCTTCTTGCCTTCTTCTGGTGACACCTGGACGGCCGGCGCTGCAGCTTCTTCTGGCGGCAGCCAGCGCTGCTGGAGGAGAAGAGGAAGAGGAAGAGGAGAAGAGGAAGAAGAAGAGGAGAGGAAGAGGAAGAGGAAAGGAGAAAAAGAAAATCAGTCAACTAGAAATAGAGTGGAATATGAGGACCATAGGGTTTCTACTTTCTATTTCTTACTTTTTAAAAAAAATTATTTAATATTAATAATTATTAATTAATATAACATAAATTATAATATAATATTTCGGTTTAAACCGAAATACCAAAAACAAAAATAATACATATCGAAAATCGAATCGAAATATCGAAAAATACAAAAAAATAAACTGAATACCGAACCAAAAACCGAAATACCTAAACGGAAATTCTGAAAAATTTTGGTTCGGTTCGGTGTTTTGGTGTTTATGCCCACCCCTAATGAATACCCATATTAAACCCATTTTGACCATATTTGAAGAGACTTATAAAATATCTTGAAACTCATATTTGACCAATTATAATATGAGCAATCCAAGTCACTATATATGGTCAAAATGAGCTCATTTTATTAATATGAGCTGAAATTACCACCCCTAGCAAAAATAGAGTAAATTTTGTGTATAGCATTATATGTAGTATTATTATCAAGTTATGACATTAGAGTTTCAATTTCATTTTGTAGCATTTAATATCTCACTCTTTAACATTTTATTAGTAATTATATTGTTAACTATAATTTATTAAAAAGAGTTGTTATTAAAAATTAATTAAAAATTAAGTAGATAAAGTGATAATGAGTAATTAATTTTAATGATTAAGAATTTATGACAATATAAATTAAATGATTTTTGTCAATTATAATTACTGCATTTATTCAATGTTACACGCCTAAGAATTTGAGGAGTTTAACTTTTTATTGAGTTAAATTAAAGGTAGATCAATTATTAGCATTACTTTTGTTTCTTTATTAATTGATATATTTAATGTAGGTAGCACGTTTTTTTTTAATATGAATAGTTTCACTTTTTAGGGAGTTTAACTAAAGTTAAATATATGATTTACACATTTTTAGGGATATTAAATATTTTCAAATTATCGTCATTGCCTTAAATATCTCTAGTTAGTTAAAATAATATTATTTTTTTTGAAGTAATTCCTTAAAAAACTCAATCAGATAATAACAAATATTTTTGGATTTTCAGAATACTTTCAGATTGTCATTTTCAAACATATTTGGATCAACGTTACAAGTAGTCTTCGTTCTAAAATTTCACGATTATTTTCAGACTGCTTTCAACGTATAAGTCACTTTTTCTAAAAATTCAAGAATATTTTCATAGCTGCATATTTCATTTCTTTTTTTTAGTAACCTGATAAATTATGGCGTACAATATATATTTCTATTTAAATTATAATATATATTTTTATATTAATTTTGTATTGAAAATATATTTTGTTTGTTTAATTTGAGTATTGTATAGGACAGTGAATGATATATTAACTGTGTATAAAGTGTGTATGAATTATATGAACTGATTATAAATTTGTGTAACGTTGAAGTCTGAATTTTTTTTAATAGTGTATGAAGATTATACCAAACATGTATCATTTGTGTATGAAAGTCCATTTACTTTTTTTTTGCAAAAATTACAGTATATGTTTCTAATGAAATTAGAATATATGTTTTGTATTGATTTATTACAACGGGTATACCAAACTTGAAAGATGGAAGGGGTTTGCTGACGTGAAATTCAAAAGGACAAAAATGACTTGCAGTAGATGTCGTCCAGTTGGACACAATAGAAAGACATGTTCAAATTATCCTGTACAAACAATGATTTCGTAATGTTACATTTGTTATTTTATTGTTTTGAATGTTAGAAACACGTTTTGTTTTATAAAGTGCAGTTGTTATCATTGACATTATAAAGTTTGATTTCGTAAAAAATTGTCATATACATATCATTTGTTTATGTTACATATGTCAAAGTTCAATATGACATTCATAATTCATACAATGTTATACATTATAAATATACATTGAACTATACTGCCATTCATAAAATGTTCATATAATATTCATACAATGTTCATACAATGTTCATATATGTACCATTTGTTTCTGTTATATATATCCAAGTTCATATGGGATTCATAATTCATACAATGTTTATACATTATATATATACATTGAACTTTACTGTCATTCATAAAATGTTCATATAATATTCATACAATGTTCATATATATACCATTTGTTTCTGTTACATATATCAAAGTTCAATATGTCATTCATAATTTATACAATATTTATACATTTTTCATACAATGTTCATATATTTTTGCATATTGCAATTGAAATTTATACATAAATAATACACATTTAATAAAGTGCAAATATTCATTTAAGCATACTACTATTAAATACAACATTTAATATATTATGATATATATAGTTAGATATATTTTATACAACATGCAGACATGAATGTTACAAGATCTGTACTGCTAGATTTTTGTGACAAGTCAAAAATCATCTCTTGGTTTCACACACCAAGAAGAGAAGAAGAAGAAGAAATTGATCAACTATGTGATTCCTCACTCACTTTGTCTTTTTCTTCATTAACAACCGGTTCTCCAATCATGTCAGGGATCAAATTTTTTACTTTCCTCCATTTGTAATATTTTTTTCCGATTGCTTTCACTGTTGACACTACTTTCCTTTTAGAAGGACTAGACCTTACTAATTCATCCTTCTATTTCTTCTCTAATTCCATCGCAACTGTATAGCTTGAGATTTGCGATTGAATTCGAGTTATATATAGATCAAAAGATGGTATTTCAACCATGAAGTTACCAGTATAGTTTGTACCTCTTGTGAATCTCCTTAGGGAATTTGGTTTATACATTGTATTCAACAACCCAGATTCTAAAAATTTATAGACAAATAAATATTAAAGAATTTGACATAAATAAATATAAAACTTGAAGAAACCTGCATTATCTATACAACGTAAATTTCTCCTAAAATGAAGCAACAACATATAAAAATTAAATAATTTGACAAAAGAATCAGAGAAAAAATAAAAACTTTAAGAAATAAACCTGTTTGATGATCCATACAACACGATTATTTTCCGAAAATCATGCTATATTGCGAATTTGATGGTCGAAAAATAAAAAATCTAATTTTGTGAAAGATTGATAGAGATGTAGTTGAATAAGGATTTGAATCTTAATCTGATTTTGGAAAATAAGTTTAAAGCTTGAAAGAGTTTCTATCTTTAATTAATTAATAGAAAGAGAAACATGTGCTACCTTTAATTGATTAATAGAGCGAGAAACGTGAAAAAAGGCGTGCAAAATTAATGGTAGAAAGAGAAGCATGTAAATAGGAGAGATTGAGTGTATTGGGGGAAGATAAAAGAGTATTGGTTGATATTGAGGTGGGTAGTTATTGGGTAACCATATAATATGAAATTAATTAAAATCAAATCCCTAATTTTTAAATTTTATTTTTTAAAAGGTAACTATATAATGTGAAGTTTAATTAATATTTAATAAATAATAATTTATTATTTATATTAAAAACATTAAAAGGTAATTGAATAATATTTAATAATTTATTATTTATATTAAAACTTTAAAAGGTAATTGATTAATCAGTTTTAAATAAAAAGTTTTGTTGACAAAAGATAAGTGAATAAATGAAACTGATTATTTAAACATATTAATTATTAGTTAAATAATAAAATAATTTTTTCTTATTAATATATTATTAATTAATATGCTATAACTTGATAATAATATGCTATAAATAGTATATTTTTAATATTTTTTTAATTAATATATTATTAATTGATGTGCTATAAGATGATAATAATATGTTATAATTAATTTATTTTTAAAGAATATGATTACAACTTGATATTTATCCTCTTAAATGTGTGTGGGATATTAATTTTTCGCAAAATACATTCTTGCAATTGAGGGATTTGTAATCTCTTATTTATTTTGTTATAGAAAGTTATTTTAAACTCTATATAATAAGAAAATATGTGATTGGAAAACTTAAGTCATTTTTCTTCTTGATTATTTTTAAAACTGCCTCCAGGGACTTCAATTGCTTTGACCCTCTCTACTTCATATATTTTCTCTTATATTCCTCTGGAATTCATCTATAATATTTCCTTTTTATTTAAGTTTATGTGTAAGTAATATTTTAGTTGTTTGCATATATTCTTTGTATCAATGACATCTTATATAGTATATATTTTTCTAGTGCTTATATTTTCTCGCAGGGAATAATTGTTTGACTTTTCAGTATTATTTTTGTTATGATCTAAAATGGGTCGCAAGTCGTGAGTGACACTCACTTAACTTCTTAAATGGGTGAATTAAGAAATTTAAGCCTCGATAATAAAAATACGGAAGCTCAAAATTTGTTAAAGTAACCAATCGAATCAACCTCTAAATTCTATTACGCATCATCCCCAACACCTGAAATTCATCACAACAAGGACATCTGTTCTCAATTATCAAGTATAAAAGTATTGAAAATACCGAATAAGTAAATAAGATGATTCATGTCCGAAATTAAGGACATCATGACATGAATGAGAGAATCTAGCACGCGGTAGAAATAATAGCTTACCCTGAACATTGATGTGCTGGAGACTGGCTAGATCGAGCTGAGGGCGAGTCGAAGTCGATGGTACACTTGTTGCACTCCACAAAAGAACACGAAAAAATACAAGTAGGGATCAGTATAAAAAATACGTACTGAGTAGGTATCATCGGCCAATCAAAAATAGAACCAATATATATTGAATCATAAAATCAACTATAATACTTGGCAGGTGAAAACAGCAAACAACATGAACCAGTGACAAAAACACCATAGTAGGTACACAATCAATCACAATATCAAACACACGTATGGGGACTCATACCTTCACACCATACTCATTTGGAAAATGGGTTTTTTGAGATTGAGTATATTGAGCTAATTCAAGATTTCTTTCCTTTAATGTTATCGTGTCGGAACGTGACACTCCGATTTTATATACCGTGTCGGAACGTGACACTCCGATCCTCTATAATTTGTTCTTCTCTTCATTCATTAGGGTTATTACACAATTTCATCGCTAGCGGCACTGCTAGTAGCGTAAGGTTAGGACGTGGAAGTAGAAATCAATTTTTAATTAAACGCTTTCCCTTACAATGTATGATAATGATTACACCACTAAAAAAAAACCTTATTTAAGACGAACATTTACAGACAAGTGAATTATCACATCTCTAAAATTAATATATCTATTGAGATAAGATTACATTTCGATCCTTCTTTGAACATTTTATTGAAAAGATATTAACTCTAGTCCTTAAAAATATAATTCACCCGTCCCAAAATCTATCGAGGGCCTTGAGTGGCAGAAACTTTCCGCCATTTTTTATTAGGGGTGGGCATTTGGTATTTCGGTTCGGTTTCGGTTTTTTTTTTTGGTTTTTTCGGTTTTCGGTTTTTGCAAATTGTGTACCGAATACCGAATCGAAATATTTTGGTTCGGTTCGTTTTTTGTTAATTCGGTTCGATTTTTTTATTTCGGTTTTTTAATGGGCCTGCTACACCCATATTTGATTGTATTTGTTCAACCATCTATATATATAAAAAAAAATCACAATAAATTCCCAATAACTAGTAATAAAAACAAAATCAGAAAAAAAAGTCGAATTTTTTTTTAAAAAAAAACTGAAAACAAATGGAAAAATCTGCTGTCCAATGTCTTGACCCTGCGCGGCTGCTGCTGGCTGCTTGATGGCGCGGCGCGGCTGCTGCTGCTGCTTCTTCTTCTGGCGGACGGCCGGGCGCCGGCGCTGCTGCAGTGCTGCTGCTTCTCACGGCTGCTGCTGCCTGCTACTCCTTGCCTTCTTCTGGTGACGCTTGGACGGCCGGCGCTGCTGCTTTTTCTGGCGGCGGACGGCGCTGTTAGAGGAGAAGAGAGAGAGGAAGAGGAGAAGAGGAAGAAGAAGAGGAGAGGAAGAGGAAAGAAGAAAAAGAAAATCAGTCCACTAGAAAGAGAGAGGAATAGGAGGACCATAGGGTTTCTACTTTCTATTTCTTACTTTCTTTTTTAAAAAAAAATTATTTAATATTAATAATTATTAATTAATATAATATAAATTATAATATAATATTTTGGTTTAAACCGAAATATCAAAAACCAAAATAATACATACCGAAAACCGAACCGAAATATCAAAAAATACAAAAAAATAAATCGAATACTAAATCGAAAACCGAAATACCGAAACCGAAATTCTGAAAAATTTCGGTTCTGTTCGATATTTCAATTTTCGGGTATTTATGTCCACCCCTATTTTTTATACTAGTAAAATATTAAAAAACCGAAATTTTCATTTTTATCAAAACTTTAAACGCTAAAAATTAAAGTAGACAGAAGGTAAACAAAAAGAGCATCATTCTTTAATATATATCAACACACAAACAGTTTGAACTCTAAGATCACCATTGCAATTGATCAAGGTCGTCACTATCAACTTTTTTTGCATAGTCTTGAGGTTCCTCTGCCCTAATCGCGTTTTTTCTTGTATTGTTGTTGTTCTAGTCAAAACAGAATTCAATCCAAGCTTTGCTTAAAATAAAAATCTAGGTTGGATCGTGTTTTTGTTATATATTTTATTGATGTGTTTTTTTTCATTGTTGTATTCAAGCTACTTTTTTGTTGTTGCTTCTTAATCTTGACTTTAGTCTTCCCTAATCACATTTATTTCATGTATTACTGCTATGCACAAAACGGAATTTCACCCCAGCTTTGTTCGAAATAGAATTTTAGGTTTATTCCTCTTCTGATCGAGTAGTTGTGTTTCTTCTATGTGTAATGTCGTTTTCAAGCCGCTCTTTTTGTTCTTCTAGCTTAATCTTGACGTTCCTCTGCCCTAATCGTGTTTTTATTCTTGTATCATTGCTGCTCTGCTCAAAACAGGTTCAACGAAACAGAAATACAGGTTGGTTCCTCTTCTAATCGAGTTGTTGTATATGTTTTGTCATTGTTTTATTCAAGCTGTTGTTTTTTTAACAATAAATAGGCTAATGGAGTTCTTCATTTGTATATGAAGCTTGTGTTTGGCCTCCGACATTCTTCACTAATGTGCATGTTTGTGCCTAGTTGAGAAAAACATTCTATTCATCTCAGTCATAGTGCAAAACCGATTACCTTACTCCACAAATCTGCAACCTCGTTATATGCAATATTTGCCTATCGTTTACAACCTTAATTCCATGGTTTGAGGAATAGTTGGCCATGAATATCTTCTGAAACATGTATTCTGTGACATTAGCTGCCATGTTACCTGTAAATATTCAATGATATTATCTAAATGTTTTTCACCCAAATCAAGTCATGCCCAGTTACCTAAATTTTTTCATCAAGGTACCACTTGTACTTGCGCAATTCTCAAGAATTGTATATAGGAAGTAGAGGAGCTGGTTGATTTCCTAGGTACTTTGTAAAGTTTAGATTTGAATCTAACTCCCCTGCAACATGATTTTTGTGGTACCATTGTATACTTGTACTTGCGCAATTCTTGTATTTTTATTTCATGAACAAATATTTCCCTCAACACGGAAAACTTATTTGTTTGTTAAAACTCACTAAGTACTTCTTACTAACTAAAACAGGGGATTGAAAAATCCCAGTATACTAACTGTATACAAAGGATATTACTTTTAGTCATCTATGTTGCTGTGTTGTTCAAAATCAGCAGAAAAGAAGGAAGCAAAATGTTGTCGGTCTTCAACATCAAAGTTTCCGGTCTATCAATACTCTTTCCTGTAACATCAACTTTCTCTGTTAGACCTGCTTGTTTGGAGATTCCTGTACATGTTAAATTATGTGCAGTATTTGGTGAATGCCGGGGGGGGGGGGGGGTTGAGCAAGAAGCTTTAAGTTGTTAACAAGATTGCAATGTAGTAAGATAGGGGTTGCATCATCACTCAAGCAGAATCACCTGCTTGTGTTCCAATTCGGTTCAGATTGTTCCGACCACACATACCATTGATGTCATTATGGAACTTAAGATCTTTTATCGAAGAAATCCCAGTATACTAGCTATACAAGGAACCTGTTCGACATCTATGCAAATGGGATGCTTCTGTGTGCTTCAAAATAAGCAGAAAAAAGAAGCAAAACTTTGTTGGCATTCCCTACTATCTTAAAAATGAGATAGTGAATGATATCTCCCATCTTTTCTCTGTTAGACCTGCTTATTTGGAGGTTCCCATTCTGTAAAAGTTGTGTGCAGTGTTAGGGTGTAATGCCTGGGAGATTGAATAAGAAGCTTTATATTTTTAAGAAAAT